GCTTTTACCGAGTGCTCCATTATTATGTTGTAATTAGTGTGAAAACTTCTCCTCTTTGCTCTCTTTATCACAGCCCAACAGCTGCAGCAAAACCGAAGCAAGGACGCCGGAGAGAGAAGCCATCAGCCCTCCCTCTGCACCCCGCCTAATGGAGTGACATGAAAGGCAGATTGAAAGGAGGGGAGATGCAGGAGAATAAAGAGTGAAAGAGAGGAGGGGCAAGGAGGAATAGATGGAGATAAGGAGTGAGTGATGGAGAACCCCAGTGCGGACACGGCGTGAATGTAAATTAGGCTTTTAATGCAAATAAAAATTCAATGTAATGATGTAGGAACTTTTTGTGTAGGCGTTCTTTCTGCAAGTATAATTCCCGTCTGAACACTGTTCACCCCTCCACCCCACCTCCACCCCTCTCCATCCACCCACCGGATGTCCTTGGACTCTCCTCCCAAATCCTGTCACCTGACTCCCCACGCTCACCTGCATGTCTCCAGTCAGTGAGCCGTGACATCCTCGGCTGTTTTCTTTGTCAGATTGTCAATCTTCCTCCAAGCTTCTTTTTTATTTTTGTTTTTTTTTGGCCTGTCTGCCTTTTAAGCACAATTGTAACTAAAGATCTGCACTCGTTTTGCCTCAACATTTATACGTCATTTTAAATGTAACGCATTTATCGAGCTGATTAAAGAGAATGTCTTTCTTGTGTTTTTCTGCTCATATGTAAGATATTTCTTTTCTTCTTGTATTGCTTTAAAATCAAATGTTTATTTTTTCCATTCAATAAACTTTTACTTGACGGCAACATTTGCTCATTTATTTCTATCTGCATGTCACAATCACAGGGTCACATAACACCGTCAGACTGCAAATTCGCTGCAAATCCTCAGTGTTAAGTAACAAAATAATTAAAATACTATAGTTTAAAACTTTTACACCCTTGTTCTTTTGCACTTCTCTGCTTTAGACCATGCCTACACTGGTTTCAAAGCTCACGAATTCCCTAAAACTGGTGCAATACCATGCAGCTGTTGACACCAGAGCAGCACTTCATGATATGGAATAAACAGTAAACACCTGTTTACCTCAATAACACGACCACCCGTGGCATACATACATACCTGCTCATAAATATGCACAAGTGAAGTATTTTCAATCTTTTATATGAGTTAAGAAAAGCCCTGTTTTGTGCACTAAGTTGAGCTTATCAAACTTCTAAAAGTGTCCTCCAGGCTTGTGCCTGAATTTGTAATCTAGTCTGTAAAATGTATTAAGTGCATAACAGAGGGGATGAGATCATAGTGAACGCTGACTTCCTGTGTGTGTGTGTTTGAAAGAGGCACCTGCAGTGCACACAGCCTACCAAGTGTCAAAGCTGAACTCATAGCTGTACTGAGAAGATCCCATGTAAGTACTCTGTAATACTTTGTATGTATACTTTAGTGTTTTACGTGATAGTAGCAGGTTTTCAAAGCTTTTCTTCAAGGGAGATGATACTTTAATCAGGATAACAACATGTCAAGGACTCGAATCATAACTACATGCTGACAAATGTCAGAGACGCTGCGAAAGATCCACTCTGATAGACGTAAAGGGGCACGTAGGGTCAAGATTCAAATGTGGTCCCAACAGAGGCCGCTTTTAAAAGTTTTTTGACTGATTTGTCTTGAATTTGATCTGCTCGTGTTTGTGTTTGTTGCCTGAAAAACTGGCACAATTATTTTCATATATATTTATATCATTAGAAGAAAGTGACGATCCACAGTTCGTAGCCAGCGTTCAGTGTGTCTGACTGTCAACACATGAATTGAATTAAATTCGTCAACACTGAAAGATTTATGGTTGTTTTATCATCAGACTTAAGCAATTCTCAAATGAGCCGGACCTGATCTGTAGATTTTACCCTCTATGGGACGTCTTTCAGCCTTCATTAGTCTCTCTGATGTGCTTAAACCTAATGACAACCCTGAGGAGGATTTCAAAATGTCACATCAGAAATGCCTAAAATAGAATTTTCTGCTCTGCAGTCTCTTTAAACGTAAAGATCAAAATTTATGCAATAACAGCAGCGCCAGCAACACATTGTTGATTTTGCAATAAGATGCTAAATTTGTCCTGATCTTACGCAATCAGGACATAAACTAATTTTAATTTTTTTGAAAAAATGTAAAGAAAGTTACAATATCCTTAACAGTTTAAAATCAGGCAGGTTTGCTTGAATGTTAAGTTTAGTGTGTGTGTTGTTCCTCTAAAATATGATAGTGCTAGCTTTGCTGAGGGCCTTGTGCCATGCAGAACGCTTAATTTTGTAGGTAAATAGCAACGTTAATCAAAAAGCTTCAAATACCTTCAAATATTTTTAACACATTTGGTAAAGTGTTTCTTTTACGGCATTTATAAATTACTAAAACACACTGTAGCAAAGTATTTCTCTTATGTTATGTATATAACATTAAAAATGTTTTCACAAGTTAAAACTTCTGCCTTAAAACAGCCTTAAAAAGTCGAAAAAAATCTCACAGCTTATCTTATTTTTATATTTTTGGCACTGATAGTGTCGACAGTAATGTACTGCTTTTATTTAGTTCAGGTAAATAAGACCTGTAGCGTTCCCTCGTAAAGGCCATTTACAGCTGAGTGTGGATCGCACCTCATCTGCTGAGTTTTCTTTAACAAACAAGTAACTCTGAGAAGCTTCCAGCGTGCGTACTATCTTCAGAAATACGCCAGACGATGCCAAAAAATTTACTTATAGCAGGGTTAGTTCAAATGCTACGTGTGGTGGGCAGCAAATTATTGTAATATAATGAAAAATTTGCTTGTTTAACGCAAATCTCCTTGTAAACTGTAACACTGAGCATAGTTCAGCTGTTATACTGAGGAAATTAACTTTAGATCACACTAAGTGGTAAAATCTCATATTTGCTTCAAACTCTAAACTCAGAGGCATTACACAGGTATCCAAACTAGGTTACCTTCAACAAATAAAAGTTTTGACCTCTCGTTAAAGACAGGTGGCACGTACGGTGGTTACATCAATGACGGCCTTGTTTTATTGAATGGTCCCAAAGAGTCGTGAAGCAGTGAGCCTGCGTGGCCTCGGGGTCCTGCTGGTTTTGTTTTAGGAGGACCCTGAAACTGAAAATGCTTCCTATGAAAACTGCCAATATAAAATAAATGAAAAAATAAATAAATGAATGAAATGAAATTTACCAAGCGCTGTACTCTCACTCGAATATAAAATATAATAAGTGTAGGATTAAACTGGCTCAAATTTTTTGATTAATATTACAAAAATGGGCAATAATTTAGTGTTAGAGATATCTCACTTGAGATTATAGTGCTTCTTTTCTTATCTCTGAGCATTATATCAGGATAACAGTCTAGATTTCACTAATCCGTGGCTCATAGTGTTTTAAATTTTACTCATGATAAGCACCATTAAAATTAGATCTAGCAAACATGGCAAAGTGGCTGCAGACGGACAAAGATCTGGTGTAAAATACTAAAAAATAAATTTACCTGGCTCTTTCTGCGCGAGCGCTTTAATAGATCGCCTCCTTTCAGCTTCTCCATGTTTTATCTACTGCCAGAGCTTAAAAGGAGTCATATAACTCACAATTTTAAAAATGATATTACAAAATGGTAACAAATTAAAGGAAAATCCTGAAAACCCCCGACCCTGCCAGCGAAGCAATGCGATGCAGTGGCCCCTTTTTACTTTGAGGGGCTTGTCCCTCGAGAGCAAAGCGTCACTAGAAATCAAGCAACCAAAAAGTTGATTTGCACTTTATCCTTTCATGGAGCACTTCTATCCTGAAGGGAGCGGTCTGTTCCAGGATGGAAATGCCCCCGTCCAGAGGGCGCGAGGGGTCACTGAACGGTTTGAATATAAAACAATGTGCTACGGCCTCCCGAGACACGAGATTTTAACCCAGTATGAATGATTTTAGGCTGATGTACTGAACTGCTCTCCCAATCAAATGAGAGAATATCTTGGAAAAGAGTTGCGAGCATCCCCCCCAGCAGAGTCTCAAAGATTTAACACAAATATTGTAGAAAAGTGCACCCAAGCTGTTCAGGCGGCACGTTGCGGCCCAACTTCTAACTAAGACACTTGCTGGTTTTCACATATCTGTATGATGTTACTTCTGCTGCTCACATTTTATGTTCCAGTTTGCTCTAAAACTAAATGTTTTGTGACACAAATGAAATTTGGTAACATACATGTCGGATAAACTCCATCAGTGGCCAACCAGCACAGCGCTGCAGCACAGTCTGAAACAGAAGCGCTACCTTGAGCTTAAAGTGTTGACTGTTTGTTTTGTTTTTTTACACCAAAATGTTAACGTACAGCTGAATGCTGCACCTCACAGGTGTCAGCAGGCACTTCTTACTTGCTGAACTGTCTTCTTGCCTTTCTCGTTTCGAGGGTAGTCTGTTTTCAGTTTGCTCAGTAGGATTGAGGTTGGTTGGCTGATTTGGCCTGTGAATGTCGATCACATGTCCCCGGGTTCTTGGTTGTTTCAGCTTCATGCTCCGGATGCTGTTCCTACAATTCAAAGGACTGAATTGTTTATCTCTGTTTATCCAGGAACACCCATAAAGCTGTTCAGAGCAGTTCAAAGCCATTTATTGTTTATTACTGACTAACTAAAGTGCTGCTGATTTACTCTTTTTGTTGCATATCATCGTGAAGAGTCATTAAATGTACTTGTTTCTTCTTCTTGGACTTTAGCAGTGAGCAAAAAGTCTCCTAGAGGCACACACTGTATGTATTTTGATGTTCTCTGTAGGCGATTACTGAGATGTGTTTCCCTTACCCTGTTATGAAAATATAACCTGTCTACACTGGAGGTGTTCTCATATGAGACATTAGGATTCCCTTTTCATGGGACTGCATTAGTCAGTTCTCTTTTTCACTGTATTACCCAAATGTGCACACTCATAGACACAAACATGCAGTCATACAAAGTGAAACTGCAATTTCTGAACCAGGGTGTGTCCCTCCTTCTGCTATTTCCATTTGTCTTGTCATTCCATCGCTACAAACCATCAGGAGCCAAATTCAGGTCAGCAAATCAAATTTTTTACTTCTTGATATCAGCAGGTTAGAAATGTCACTGTTGAAGGACATTGTTGCGATACATGTATTTATTGTTTGTGTAACCTCCATAAACAGCATATTACTGTAAAATTACGCTTATGTGAAAAAAGGAAGTGGACCGTTTTCCCATTCTGAACTTTTATGTATCAGGACATAATAAAATATCATCTGATCCTCAGCAGGGGTCTGCAGGCAACACGGCAACCACATCCTGTCCTACTGTCAGGCCAGTAGAGTTAAAGAAATGTGCATACCATAACAGCAGCTGTATGGCCGCATACCTGTGAGGTTGTTGTAAGGTAGTGTTGTATCTGTTAGTATCAGAGTAACAGTCTACTTCCAAAACTTCTCTGCAGTAAACTATAAAACACAAATATGTGATGCTATAAGGTCGCTTATAGCATCACATATTTGTGATGCTATAAGCGATCACAAATATGTGATGTCGTGCGACACTGGGTCGCACGACCCTTAAAGATTAAAAAAACAACAACATGTGATTAAACTCTTTCATTGTTTAGTTAACAAAAACTAGATGAAAAAGCAGAAACTGTGTGAAATAGAAGATTCGGGAGCTTGCAGAACAACCTTTAACAATAATCATTTTCTGTATGACTTTATCAGTGTCTCACATCATGTTGGCCCACTTTTCTTTGCATTTTTACTTTAGTTCATTGAGGTTTGTAGGCATTCATTTGTGCACAACTCTCTTCAGGTCCCAACACATCATTTCAGTCCGGTTGAGAGCTGGATTTTTCCTGGGCCATTGCAACATCTCGATTTTTGACTTTTGATTTGCTGCTGTGCTTGCGATCGTTGTTCTGTTGCATGACTTAGCCGTCAGACAGATTGCTTCACATTTCTAAAAGTGTTTCGTATAAAGTTAACTGTCAGCTCAGGACAGTGACAGCAGAACAAACATAAATCATTACTCCTGACTGTGCTTGACAGTTGAGGTGTTTGTGCTGATAAGCTGTGGTTCATTTTTCTGAGCGTTATGGCCAAACTTCTCTATTTTAGCTCGATCTGTCTAAAAGCAGTAGTGTGGTTTGTTCAGATGCAAAGCCATGCTGCCATGTTCTTTTTAGACAGTGTTTCTTCTGGCAACTCTTCCGAACAGGATGTACTTGTTCAGTCTTTTTCTGAATGTATTGTCATGAACTTTTACATCTAATAAACTGAGGCCTGTAGAGTCTGAGATGTAGCTCTTGGGTTTTCGGCACTTTCTCTGAGCATTGCTCAGTCTGACCTTGGTGTGAATTTGCTGGGACGTCCACTGAAGATTAGCAGCTGTCTTAAATGTTTTCCACTGATGAACAATCTTTCTCGGTGTAGAATAATAAACTTCACAATGTTAGGAAATGGCCTTAAAGCATTTATAGCATTTACATATAGCAGTTAGTTAGATTACCAGACCGTTGATATCTTTCTTGTTGTTAACACAAACCTGAATGCTCCAGACCTGTAGCCTGTTAAAACAGTTAACATGATTAATTAATGAAGTGCATTTGATTATCAGCACCAGGCTGCTACTTACCACTTAATTCCTATGATGAAGGAATTAAGTGGTGGCTCCCACATAGCAAGCAGGTCTGGCCCGGATCTGGTACCAAGCCGTCACTGCTGGCTGACTTCTGGCATGGTAAGTGGTATGTCATCCATATATGGGTCAGGCTTGGCGTAGATGGCACTGGCTATGTGATGGCATGCCACATCTGGCTCGATTATGTTTTTGGTTATGTGGCCCAGGATCATAGAAAAGAGATCTGGCCCGACTGGTGTCATGGCAGGGTGTATGTCAACCAGATGTGGGCCAGGTCTGCCAATCATGACATAATTTATGTTCCTATTTTCCTATTTTAGTTAGAAGACCCAAATGCCATGTTGCAATACTATACTGCTATGGTAGCCAACGTTTCAAATGCAGGTTTGACAGGTTTGTGAGTGTACACTTTATCCTAAACCTAGAGACGGTTTACTCATGTTTATCACAGGGTGGCTGTAGCTCAGGAGGTAGATCAGAAGGTTAGTGGTTCGATCCCTGTTTCCTCCAGTCTGCATATCAAGAGTGTGAATGTGTATGAATGTAGTTAGGAAGCACTCAGTTAAGAGAAAGTGTGTGAATGTGTCATGTTGTATAGAGCACTTTGAGTAATCTGGGAGAGTAGAGGACCGCTATATAAGAATCAGTCCATTCACTGTCTGAACAGAGTTTCCTCATGTTACTTTTGCACTATTATGTTCCGGCACATGTTGTTATTACACGGCTTGATTAAGGTACACATTAGGCTGACATCTGCGGCCAGAGCTGAAACTGTTCTGGGGCAGCACAGGCCGTCATTCTTTGCGGTATGTGAGCCATGTGTAAGCACATTGTGTGGTCCAGATCCGAGCCATACCAATTTTGCTATGTCGGCTGTAGCTCAGGAGATAAAGCAGGTCATCTACTTTTTGGAAGTTGGATCCCTTTTGATTCCCTCCCTGCTCCAATTTGTATGCCAGTAAGTTAACAGGCTTGTAGAAGTAGAAACAAGCGCTTGTCTGTGAATGGGTGAATGGGGCAAAATGTATAAGCACTTTGAGTCCTTGAGTAGAAAAGCGCTATATAAGAAACGGATGTGTTTAATTATTCATAAACTTCTTCTTAACTTTTAACGTTTACTAAATAAATAATGACACAATATGTCATGTCACATGTTGCTGTTCATTGGAGGTTGTATTTAAATAATGTTAAGTACTGCTAAGAATCAGATCTCTCTTATTATGTGTGATACATTAAAACTTTAGAGATCAAAGAGGGTGTTTTTATCTTTTCCACATGACTGTAGCAGCATCTCCTCACTCGGGCACCCCGAGTTTAGTTTCTTGGTTTTGTCATACTATGACAAGATATCGGCTCTGTAGAAGTTCCCCTTTTTCTTCCACAACATGGTTAGGGGAATGCTTTGGTATTTAACTTCAGAGCATCTACCCCGAAAGTGAGCACAACTGAACCCTACAGGAGTCTCGTTGATGGTGGTAAAGCCTCAACACGTAATAGCTTAAAATAACCACCATAACATTTCTGAATTAATACTCTGAACACCAAAGAAAAAGGAATTATATATAACGTACTTTTTACAGTTTACAGTAGCTTCCTGTTAATATTTTTTTGTACAAAGGAATTGGCACAAACTACAGCGCAAAACTCTGTAAACTGTCCTTGATTTCAGCTCCAGTTTGTTAGATCGAAGTATTCGGAGAGGGGTTTTTTTGCAAACGTACATGCATACGTAATGACCCTGACACAAGTGCCAATGTAGCCACCATCATTACAAATTTGTTAAATGCCAAACAGCAGCAGATTGTTGCAAAAAACACCAAAAAACACCAAAACAAAACAGTTGCAATAGTAAGCAGGATGATGTGTGAGCTTTCAGAGCAGGGAGAGGCAGCACACAGCAGCCAGCTGTAACCCCACTGCAGGTGCACTCCTTTTTTAAAAACTGAATTTCCTGATTATTTTTGAAATGATCGTGTGCTGGGTGATTTCCCTGCAGTAAACTCCCCTCGTGTTTCACTTCCACGCAGGTTTTAGTGTCAGAGCAGCTTTTCATGACTGGAATCGCTGTTAAAGCAACCTGCAGAGGGTGATCGGTCAGTGACCGGTCGCAGGCTAAAATCATTTGTTTTCTTGTTTGTTAAAGTTGTCCTCTCATAGGTGGCGTCTCAGCTGCTCCTCTTCGTCTTGCTGTGTGTTGTTGGCTTTTAAAACTAAAGAAGTGAAAGTGTTGTTAGTAGGCAAAGGGTAACATGCAGTGAATCAGGAAATGAAGCATTATGGTTAAATTATGGCCGGCTTTTTAAATGCTCTTCAGCTCTGTTTGTGTAACAAATGTTTTCTGGTTTTCCTGTTTCAGTAGGTTCATATTAATAGAAACTCTTTCACTGTGCACCTGAACTGGCTGTCTAATACAGCTCTAATGTAAGAGATTGTCTTCATTCTTAAAAGACGTCCTAAAGTTGTGACAAATAACGCAGGTACCATTAAGTCTTTCCCTTTTTGTGTTTCTCTGTCAGTGTTTTCTAACATTTAATGATTGCAGCAGACATGAAGGGGGGGGGGATTTCGTGCTAAAAAGAGTGTCACTTAATTTGACTACCCACATGGAAAAGAAATAGAAAGTGCTTAGAGCGAAATGTTTATGTTTCATGTTCAGGAGATTGACTCTTTGACGTTTTCCTTATACAGTCGTAAGATATTTAGGGTGAACTGAGTAAACATTGTTTTGTGAGGTAGAAATTAGTAGATAATAATATGAGAGATGACCCACTCAGTCACAGTGAATTATCTCTTTATTTCTCCACATTTTGTAACAAGACTTTGTACAGAACGACATCAGCTGAGTAAGTTAAGCCTCTTTTACCTTATAGAACCGGGAAACTGTGTCTTCTACCAAGTATGTGTGTGTTTTGCTTGTAGTTTGCTACTAAATAACTGTTTGCGAAAAATCAGCAGCAGCCCAGCGAGTGGAAAACTTAACGACAAATGCATCTTTACATTTCTCACTTCCAAATTAATGATGTTTACATTCACATCTTCCAAAAGTCACACTGGCTTCATATTGCCTGTGTTTTATTGTGCGTATTTGCGCATCAGATGTTTTATTAAATTTGTCACAGATACTTTTTAAACATCAGTCTGCAAACTTTGGACTCGTACCGCAGGTCATGATCATCATTATCAAAGGCAATATAAACACTTTTTCTATTTCTATTTCTTTTAGTTTACCTTTAACTTTGAAGATGATTTTTGCCCATTAAAAAATCTGCCTCTCCTGTTGCCTCTGAAGCGGCATTAGGAAGCAGGCTCCTCAAAATCAACGCCGCAAGGCTGAGCCTGCAGCGAACAAAAAAACTGCACAAATGCACATGTGAGGCATATTTTTAAAATGATTTGATTATTTAATCTAATGGCAGCTTAGTGTGTTTTTTAGCTATTGGGCAGATGTAGCAAAGGAACATCACTGAACTCTTCCTGACACTTTGAATGTGGCCGTCTGTACAATGAGTGGCAACATGTGAGTAGTGGAATAGTGTTTTTGTGCCTAACGTTTATGCAATTAAAATGCATTTAGTTCTTATTTGAATGCATGTTGATGGAAAAAAAATTGCAAAACATTTCCATAATTTCCGGATATAAACTGTAGGATGTACAGAAAAACATTACTGACTGAAAACTGAATTTTGTTTGTGTCATTGTTTTGAGAAATGCTCTAAAACTGACATCAAATGTTTTTTGTTTCCATTTTGTTTATTCATTTATTACAATAAGCGAATAATCATATTATCTCGATTACTTACAGGAATGCAGTAACGTGCTTCAGCTACGCTCAGCGCATATGCTGCACACACGTCTGTAGGCGCTGTGGAAATATACAGCAGTGTTTCCACTGCAAACAAACGTCATCATTAACCTCATCATCTTAATCACAGATTTATAGTAGCAGTCGTGTGCAGTCCATATGAATTAGAAAATCTACATGAACTGTGGCAAAATCTACATTTTCCTTTTGATAAAAAGGATCATCCAGCGGCCCACAAACCAAAAATAACTTACAGATACTGATGATGGAGGTTTTAGCGATGAGTGGGAGAGACAGTAAACTTTTCTGTCTTTGCGACTGTTTCACAAGTTTGAGGTTTCAAAGAAGCTTGAATGAAGTTCCCCTCATGATGAAACACACTAAATGTTTTCAGGCACTGAGGGAGAATGTCACTTGTTTCTGATTCTTAACATCTTTTCCACTGACATTTTGTTTATTTATGAAACACAAAAACAGCCACAGACTCTTAAACTTCCAGCACACACCCAGCACCTTCAGCACATCCTCCCGTCTTTGGCTAAATCGCACGCCATAAGTCTAACCTGTAATTTTATCAAATACAATAAAACCAGCGCAAGTCAGAGACAGGAAATAGAGATCGATTGCCGAGGGAAACCCTCTGTAGGAGAGATTGGAGGCTGAGGAAGCATGAGAGGCATATGAAAAAAGTGAATCACCCATCTTTCTTGCTTGTGGCCCACACTTTGTCTTTTTCTTTTTCAGTAATGACACAGTGTGGTGCACACCCCCTCGTTAGGTGTGTGTGACTAATGAGGGAGTCCTCACTTTCAAGGTGTTTTCCATCAAAATCACAGCTCATAAACAAATATGCATCCACCGAGGAAAGAAAGGGGTGTCGCGCTGATCGCGGGCTTTGCAGCCGCTTTTATATCCGAGTAATCTGAAAGGAGCTCCATTTAAAAGCTCATTTCATTTAGGCCTGTAAGCAAACGTTTGGCTGAGGCAGCACAGACGTGAAGGTTTTGCTTTACGAGTGAACAAAAGCTTGTTTCATTTCGAGCTCAGAAGGAACAGAAGCAGGTGTGAGCCCTTCATGAAGGCAGTACAGAGGCAGGCAGAGAAACCTCAGAGAGACACATGAGACGTGTGTGAGATGTTTGTTTTGTCCTTGTTGTGGTTCCTGTATCTAAACCACCTCAGCAGCATGTTTCTGCAGCACCAGTCTGATCCCTGTAGCCTTCATTAGCTGTGATGGAAGAGATCATCTGATTTCTTGAATGAAAAATAAGCGATTAGCTTCTATTTCAGCAGAATAAACAGCCAAACGATAACCCTTTACAGAGTCAGTGCATCTGTGTCAAACATGCTGCTGAGCCTCTCAGGCCTGCCTTCAAAGTGTAGTACTTCACTGGTATTGTGCCCAAATTTTAAGCAGTTTTGATTCAATTTAATGTAATCTTCCAGTCACAGGATCTCTCATGTTTTCTGAGGACATCAAAGATGCTCTAATTTTTGTAATTAGTTTGCAGTTTAATGTTTTATCTAGCACATCAGCACAGCTGCCATAGCTGTAAGGCAATACTGTACTCACCCATACAGCTCGTGTGTACAACTTCTGAGAAGCTGAGAAGCTGACAACAGTGAGAAAACACAGAAATCTACAGATGTTGTTGAGTCGAGCGCAGATGTGACTCGGCTGCATTTTAGGAGTGCAAATAAGAACAAGCAGATGATCAGCTCCCTCACAGGTGGACAGTTACTATTATTAAGTAATAAAGCAATGAGTAATCAGAGTGCCGTACAGAGAGAAAAGTGAAATGTGCAGAGAATCTGAAATCTTAAGCTCAAAATTATGATACCGATCCCCAACAAGAGTCATCTGTGGGACTCTTTATATCACTTTTCAGGTCAAGAAGGGAGATTGAGGGAAAGATGTTGTTATATTTCTCCCGGACTGCCCGAACTCTGCAAGCTATACGTATAAATGAATTTTAGTGGCATGGCAGATTGACTGATGACGACCGATTGCCTTCATGTCAAAGAAAAGAAGAATATCGCCTCTACCATGAATTTGATCACACTCTGGTAAAATGAACTGGATTGATGCTGCGTGCCTTTTTTTAAATGAACAAAGTAGTTTGCTGATAATTACATTTAGCACAGTTACATTTACAGACTGATGTTGGCCGTCATAGACCTCAGTCTGGTCAACCTTTTATTCACGTGTTTGTCTGTTAACCAAGGGTCCCAGATATTTTAGCAACTAAAGTGACCCCTTTATACTTTATACAACAAAACCTAATTTACATGGCTCTATTTGTGTTTATTCTAATGTAATCAGCAACGGTTTTAAATCATTTTGATGTTACCCAACTCAAACGCTTTAGCTATATTTCATCGTCATCGGGCACCGAGTATGTGCTCGACTTTTGCAGATTTGGTTCTCTGAGTCTGTTAGCTACGCTCACTGTAAAACATTGTAATGCAGCGATTCCAAGTAAAAACATTTAAATAAAACAAACCAGAAACATTTCCATCATCATACATGACCCCACACAACTTTCCATTATCCCTGACACACCATTGTTCCAATTCCTGTAATCTATGAAAAAATATGAGTGAAGTAGACCGATGAATTCATGGTAGGAAATGTTTTCATGATTAAAGATTAAAGACAAATATTTCTACACCGCTAACGTCATAAATGAGTCCACGCGGTCATTTGAAGTTAAAACTCGCAAACCCAGCATTGTTCTGATGAAGTTCGATCAGTTTTTCTGTTTAATACAAATTTGCTGGTAAGACATAAAGAAACGGGAATTATGTAAGACGGAAACATTCAATAAAAAACTATTGATCGCTTTCACCCGCGCTGACCGTTTGGCGGGTCTTTTCTTGTCAAACGCACAAAGGGAAGATTTTCTTTACTCGACAAATCTTTACATTTCAGTACAGTTTGTTTTATTAAAATCAGTTCATCGAATCTTAGATTGAAAGGAAATTTCAATTTACTGCTAGTTACCGCCAAATAACATGACACAGTGGTTTTTATTTTGATGAATGTTTTCCTCGATGCTGTAGCTTCGGCGGAGCGCCGTAACGAGCACAAACAGATTATATACATCGAAAAATGAGTAACATTTAAGCTACTCAGCAACAACTGAAGAAGACATATTGTGAACATTTATTCTGGCGGGTATGTTTGTACGATTGTAATTTCAGCACCTTTACACGCGCGGCTGGGTGGACTTATAAATTTCACAAAGTAATTGTGTTTGTTGACTTTATTCTACTTTAACATCTATTCATCTTGTTCTGAACTTTAAAACTTAGGCCGTGATTATTGGTTGATTGATGATTCGCTCGCCGTGTTCAGACAGCAATATTTGTTTGCTTTCTGGAAGAAATCTAAACATGTCAAAGATGGGGAAAAATGAACGATAAGGGCAATTTTAAAGTGCGAAGAGGTTCTGAAAAGCACTGGTCATGGAAGTGAGCGCGAGACCTTACAGAAGAGACGCTGCACTGCACCGTCGTCGATAGACTTGAAGATTTTAAGTCCATGAAGTCTGTTATTCCGTCATATATAAATTAATCTCATATATGCCGCTCTCCCGGGAAAAAAAACATCCCTAAACTTTTTGCTTTTCTCATCCCGTTCTGCACTTTATCCGACTTTCTCTCCAGGAAATGTCGCATTTTTAATTTGCATCAGTCAACTGTTTTTGTGAAGATTGGTTCAGCAGTTCATGCTTGAATTCTGATACACTAATTATGTATCTAAATTGGTACAATTATAAGACCAGTGGAAAATTACAATAAATTAGTTTGTAAGCGGCTCATGTGCCGCTTAGAACGTGCTAAGGATAGATAATGAGTCCGGAGAGACCCTTCACAGAGTTTATGACATAAACAGCATCTCATACTTAATGAGCTAAGACATTTTACCCCATTAAGATTTGTTCTCTATTTGTTATTATAGCCACTGGACAGATTAAAAGTAAAAACAGAAACTCAAAAAAACATTTAATTTTACTGATTAAATGACGACATGATTACACTGCCAAAGCGATGCGTTTCAGTGTTTTGTGTATATGAATCTTAGATATTTTGTTTACTCTAAACAGTACCCAACGGTAAACAGTTTAAGGGGGTAGAAAAGTTTCGAAAACTGATCTTGAGTAGAGTTTAACAACCAATCAAAGGTCATTTTTCTGACTTTGGGTCTGATCAGCATCTGTGTGTGTGTCTTCCAGGCCAATCAGTGCTGAGGGAGGTGCAACGGCATTTAAAAAGAGGGCTCGTTTGATAAATATACAACACTTCCGACTGACTCCGGATCACTGAGCACAGAGGGACACTCTGCACTGAGCAGCCGCTGTAAGTATTGTGTAATTTTTCAGATTTTAACCTAATATACACATAATTCAGAACCACGGCACACGTTGTAAAGTTAATTTATACTAGAATTATCAGTATCACATTTTTTTTAAATAATAAGTTTGAAATATAAACATGTAAAGCCTCAACAGGCCCAGTGGAGCCAGAATATCACGCTGAGTTTTATGCAATTAGAGCTCCAAGGTAAGTTTTATAAATCGACAGCGCAGTGACTATCCTCTCCAGATATGAAAAAACTGAAAGAAAAAACTAAATAATAAACTTTTTGGAGGATTTTAAAAACACACACATTAAACGTTGCCTGAAAATGTAATTTCAGATCGTATTATTAAAAATGTTAAAATGCTAATCCATTTCTTGTATTTCTTTTTTCTTACATTTAACTAAAACATATAATCGTTTAAGCGCTGAGCAACTGACCCGTACAAAACAGATGACCGCTGAGCAAAAAATGTATGTGTAATTTTCAAATTATACATTTACAATAAAATAGGATATAAACATTTACACCGGTGGATTATTTTAGCTTGAACTAAATATGTTGACGTAGCATTAGCGATAGTTGTGTACCACAGTTATTTTTTAAGTTACTCACAAATTCACGCTTTATGACACACAACTATTCCTGATTTTTCTGAAAAACAAACAATATAACACTTAAATTTTTTCTTACGCTTCATAAATAAAATATGTTTGAGGTGATGGTGAAAAAAATAAAGGAAACTTTTTGTCAAATTAATTTAAAGTCTGGCCAAAAAAAAAGAATAAATAAGACAAATGAAGATTAAAAAAAATGAGATGAATGAAATTAAATGAAATGCTGCTGTTAATCTGGTTTCTCTGTTCATTCAGCTCCCCTCCTTCATCTCTCTGCTGTGTCTGACCCTCATCCTCCCCTCCCCCCCATCTCTGTATTTGTTGTTGTAGCTCCCTCCTGACTGCAGATACGATCATGTTGGTTTCTGGGTTATACTTCCACAGGTGCGATGACTTTGAACGTCAGTTTGTCATCAGTTTCACTCCATCACCGATCTTCCCTCATTATTGTTTCTTACAAACTCTGATACAATTCATATTAAACACTATGCAGTTTCAGTCGAGTGAAATAGATTATATTGGAGCATAAATTCTCTGAGACATTCTCCCTCAACACAAAAACACCTCAGATTTTAATATTTCCTGTTGATTTTCTTCTTCTGGTAGCTGGCTTATCTATGAGCGCTAACAATTAGCTTTTTTAATTCAAGATGATTGCACTCTAAAGCTGTTACGAGAATTTTTATTTTTTAATTTTTTCATGTGAATAATGAGGCTATTAGTAGGATAAAGGAGGACTTGGTGACTTTTATATTTATCCCAACACATTTATGCACATTTAGCCCATGAGGACATTGTGCATCATACGTGGAGCTGATTTTCCCTCCAATGGTGAAACTAGTGAAAACCTGTAATATTATTAAAGGTATTTGGGGGCACTTTACTGCACAGAGACATGTAGAGCCGGCGCCCGGGCTGGCCCAAACTAGAGACTCCGCAAACCTTTAATTTTACCGTAAGTTTAAATATCTATTAGCAGTTAAACCTTAAACAATAACTCAAAATAACTGGACACGAGCAGTTATTGTGTGTCTCCACATATTATATACAATAACGCATTAAATTTAGATTTAAAACAAATTCAAATTCAAATTCAAATTTTATTTGTCACGTACACAGTCATACACATTCGGTCGCCGATAAAAAAAACCTGTATTTAGGCGTAAAGTTCTGTTTTACCTCACTATTGAAGAATATTTTGATGAACAATTCTCTGATCTTCGTCTGTTTCACGAATAAAGAGCCCACAGCTTTATCCACATCTCATAGAGAATCGTGTCATCACAGCATTGCCATTTTTCTTCAATCAAAATAATTTATTATTTTTGATCAATTTATGTTTTGATCTAAAGTGTTTAATCCAAAAAGGAAAAATCTGATACTGAACTCAAGTCTTATCATTTAAAAGTCAAATAGTTCCTAAGATCTCTGGAAATTGTGGAGTGTTGCACAAATAAATCTGATTCGCTCAATCTGCTCATTCAAAATAAAAAGTCTTTAATGAACATCGGCTTATACATTAAAGAAATATTCATAATCTTACTTTAAAGCTGCTTCCCCTTCAAGAGTGTGTTTGTTGGGAGGGCACATAAATGCCCTCTTTTAACATTTTTTCAATATTCATTTATTTATCTTTTTACACAAACATACATTTAGAGTTTCTGTGTACAACCATAACACAGCGTACAGGCAAAGAGAAGAAAAACAGAGATAAGGGGTGAAACAGAAAAAAAGAGAGAGAAACATCTACCTTAAACCACAGTCTAGGTGTGCTGCCGGTGCTGTGGTCTTTTTAAGCGTGGAGAGATCCGTCTTTCGTGGAACACAGGAGGAAGAGAGGGGGTGTGAGAGGCAGAAGAAGGGAGGACTGGGATAAGAATCTGCACCCTTCACTAAATCAAGTCCCACCACAAGCCAGCTTACGCTCTGAGTCTCTTCCCTCCAACATTTGTCTGCTTCTTTTCATCCAAAGCCCACCACAGGCCGCCTACTCTCAGCTCTCTGAACTACTTGTCTTTTATCTTCTCAAATCTCTCAAAATCTGAGACCACCACAAACCCCCCTTTGCTTCCTGTTGAATGATTTCACTTTGCAGCAGACTTCAATATACACAGGACGCTACAACTAAACTAAAGACTCATTTTTACTGAAATGCTTATTTTTCAACATCTACTTTTCTTCTTGTTTGTCACTAAATGATTAAATATAGTACGACATATTTACGATGTATTGCGGACCTGTTCAACAGCTCTGAAAGACCTTCAAGTTTCATTTACAGGTTACATAGAGAGTTATTTATTTATTGATTCGTATGCAGTGAAGTACAACATCACTACTAAACACCCTCAAATCAATCGGTCAATGCATTTTTTTAAAGGATTGTATTGAGTTCAGGCAGCAAATCTCAGACAATTGAACAGTAAATTGGATTTGTCATATAAACTGAAGAAGCAGGCTGATGTGGAATTTAATTCCATGGAGATTTTCTTTATGGTTTTCTTCTGTGTTGTATCTGTTTCAAAGAACTACATACATTTGTGATCATATAATATATAACAATTATACCTCGGGCTTTCTGATGTAAAGAAAGTAATACATTTCTTGAATATTGTTCTGCTCTTTTAAGAAAGTTGTACATAATCAGGCTTGAAGTCTTAATCAAAAAAGTTAACATTTGAAAGAAGCTATAAAAATAAAGCTTATAGTTACTATAAAAATCTATAAACTGTATTTTTATTATATTTTCCAGACATATAACAAGGATGAAGAACTTCATTCAGTCCCTTCTCCTTCTTATCGCTGTGATTGTGTCAACTACCGGTAAGACGCCCTGACTGTAGACTCATTTATTTTCATTTGGAAACTGGACTGTTTGATATTCCGTATTAACACATAACATCCTTCTCATCCTTGTAGGTGCTCAGAAAGAGATTTATGCTAAGGAGGGACAGGATATTACCTTGGAGCCAACATCCTATCCAGCAAACTCTTATGTGTACTGGTATTTTGAAAAACAGGATGGTCATCAACTTGCCTGGCTTAACCCCTTAGGCGGAAAGGGATTCAGTAATGGTAAACCATATATTTATGTATATATTATTTATTTATTGTTACTGAGCAGGGAAATACAGGTAAATAAAAAAATATTTTTAACAATAACTTTCTGCCTTGTAGATGAGAAGTGGAAAAACAGGTTGTCCTTAACTGGTGCCTCGCTGGTCATAAACGCTTTGCAGGAAGACCTCTTTGGGACTTTTGTCTGTAAAATCAGCGCAGCCGGTCAGCGTGACTCGATCACTGTATTTAAAGTCATTCAAGTCAATGGTAAGAGCAAAAATAAGGTCACATGATTAGTGTGTAAGTTTAATTAATGGTTATTAAAGTTTAAACCACTGTATTTACATATCTGCATCATATTCAACAGTCTTACACAAGTTCAAATATAGCGCATGTTTTTAATTTGTGTCCTGAGATGTTTGATGTAAGAGCAGTTTAACTTATTAACTTCTTAACATGGCCTTTATGAATTCATTGGACATGACAATCTGTTTTTTTAAACTACGTATGTGAAAAAAGTTTATTTTAAAATGTAAAACATATCACTTCTATTCTGTTTCCTTTATTCTGCTTGTTTTCTGTGCTAGTGATTGAGAAATCAGCCTCTCCTCTGTTGTCTGGCGATTATCTGAGTCTGACCTGCAGTCTGGGAAGTGTTCCTCAAAACACACCTGAGATTTACTGGCTCAGTCCCCAGGGAAACAGAGAAGGAAACAAAGGAATAGTCTACATTCAAGCCAGAAGTGAACACAACGGCCAGTGGGACTGCGTAGTGAAAAAAAATGCCAATGAAAAGAAGTTCCCAGTTTCTGTTACAGTTGTGGGTGAGTTTCTGTGTGTTTGCATTTGTTTCGCAGTTGTGTATCCTCATCTTTAAGATCAGGTTTCTAACAGTTTCTCCTCCTTTTTAGACCTCGCCCCTGTGCCTTCACATCAGTATACATCCACAGACTCGCCTCTCACCATCCCTTGTTCTTTAATTTCTCCTGTTACCTGGGAACAAGTGAAAAAAAAGGAGATTGAGGAAGTTCAGTGGCACTTTGCTCCTAAACTCTCCTCAGGCACCCTTTCTGACAATCAGGAGCAGCTCTTCTCCCTCGATCTGGAAAAACTTACCTGGAAGAAGGGTAAAGACAAAGGACTGTCTCCTGTATATAACATTAAAAACGGAAATCTGTCTTTGACCAAATCAAAGGCAACAGTAGAAGAAAGAGGACGCTACACGTGCTCAATGAAATTTAAAAATGGCAGGACCCTGGAGACCACAGTAGACGTAGTGGTGTTGGAAAGTAAGTCACATTTTTTTGACAAGACCAGCTCTGTGTTACACTCACCTCCGTTATATTTAGGGTTATTTTTTCTTTGTGACCGCTCTTGCTGCCTTCCTGCTCGGCCAGTATTTTCATTTCTCTGCTACTGAATTTATTTGCAAGTGTCCACAGTGTGACATGTTTCTAATTCACAAGCTCCTCTTGTTTTAATTGGCTGTATTAAGCGTCCCCTCTGCCAGAACAGCGTGCTAACACAGTGAATCTTAATTGGACCGTGTGTTATGAGAATCTATGAAGTAAACTATGATTTCTCAGTTGCGGCTGAATGTTTTTTAAAGTAGAACCAGAAACAAATACAGATCTGATGTATTTACTCACAGGAAATTGCTCCTATAACACAATTTCTCTGGACTGTTCTCAAGCAAACCCACAACTCACATTATATTCAAATGATAAAAGCTATATTTAAATATTGATGTGAGATGTTGAATTTCTACAGCATTCACATGTGGAGATTTGAAGCCAAACCTTTTGTTTTTTACAAGCTTTTATTTGGGAAAGAAATCAAAATGTCTTGTTTAGACATCATCGCTGCTTTCGTGGCCAAAGTTTTAGTCTGATTTCAGGAAAATGCCGTTACAGACAACTTCTTTGAAGCAATTTATTTTATAAAATGCATGTTTTTCATTTTATTTCTTTGTTCTTTCTCTTCTGCTTCGTCTCCAGTCATCGCCCACCCAAAAGCAGAGCTAATCTACGGTCAGCAGGTCAATCTGTCCTGCAGCACTGGTGACCAGCTGCCCAATGATATGAAGTTAAATTGGACTTCACCTAAAACGTCATCTTACATCTCTTACCCCACCCATATTACTGTCCCGGAAGTGGGCAAAGAAGATAACGGAAAGTGGGGGTGTGAGCTGTGGCAGGGCGGCAACAAGCTGACGTCAGATGAGATACTGCTTAAGATCGGTGAGCACGGGAAGTGAGACGAGCAGGAAGTGTGACATGGGCCTGACCTTGTGACCACAAAATTTTAAGACAGAAACTTCTTTTACATGATGTGTTCTTTCTATACTGTATACTGTTTGATGACTGTCTGTCTCTGTTGTGTACAGAACCCAGACTGAGTGTGTGGATGCTGGTGATCATTTGCAGCGCAGCAGTCATCCTTCTCCTCCTCCTCGTGCTCACTTTCATCCACTACCGACGCAGAAAAGTACAGTTCAGCCGTTCATATTCCTTTCTTTTCAATCACACTGAGTTATTAGTTCAGCTTTAAGAGTTACCCCTCTGTGTCTCCCTCTTTGTCACTCACATTAGCAGAAAACGAGACTCCTCAGGCATCAACTCTGCCAGTGCAAAAAGTACGTACTAACCATTTCCTGAACTGGTAAAATGGCTCCAAAGCCACATTTATAAGCATGCACACTTATTAGCACTAAAATCTGAATGACACTTTGAGCCATGAGATATTTTTTGAAGTACGAACATTACTTAAATAAGCATTTATGATTTGGCTTTTGTAGTTCTGCGTCAGTTTCCATAACTCAAACAGAAACCTGGGACTTTTTCTTTTTCAGCCCCAAACCAAAAGGATTTTACAGAACATGAAAGCTCACAGACCGGATCTTTAAGAAGAAACGGGAACACGCTGAATTTCTGATCTGATATGTTCTGATTTACCTGATTACCTGGATTTACATCTCTCATTTTGCCATACTGGAAAGTACAAAAGAGTTTTGTTGGATTGAGGATCAAACATATCAGGCAATCTGGACTGATTTTATGTATTTTGTGTATGATTATTACCGTCTGTGACTTTAAATCATTTACACTTTGAGTCTATCTGTAGACTAAATTTCCTGTACCCTTATGTATATTTTTGAGGAGGTCTGTAATGCTTTCAGATGTGTAGGTGCTTCTGTAAATTTACATGTGCAGCATATTATTTGTGTAAAGTTTATTGCTAAAAATGGAAAGATGAAAACTGTAATGTGTAAAAACATTAGCAGATGTTTTCAATAAAGCATCAAAATCTTTCTGAGTGATGTTCCTGTAGAGGTCCTCTTGGGCTAATTTAGCGGGATGGCATCCATCTGACAGATTCGTCGATACTGGAAGGAGCAGGGAACGTCGTACCAGTTTGTGATTCTGGGTGTCCACCACCGCACAGTCCTCTCCAGCTTCCCCAGCGGACGCGTTGTTATCCGGCTCAGACTTCAGTGTGTTCCAAAATCTTTACAACGCAGATGGTAGAAGATTAACATTACTTTCATTAATATTCTGCTGAAGTGGCATTTCACCTGCTAAGTTTGTGCACTGTTTTAACAGTTGTCTTGGAAGATGCATTACTTTTAAGTAATTCTTTATTCTTCAAGAGCCATCACCAGCTAAAGGACCTGTTTATTTACCGGATGGTTCCTTGTGCTTGTGCACATTTCTAGTTGTGACTATAGTTAGTTTGAAGGATGGAGGAACTGATGCAAAACATGCCTACACCTACATACTAGTTGATGAATTGCTGTGAAGTTTTGCAAAAAACAAAAAAAAAAAAAAAGATCAAATTGACTTGTCCTCCAGCGCAACCATCAGGTTTTCAGGGAACTGCCGTAAAGGTTATTTAATAAATGTTTGTGCTTTGTACTTTTCATCATGTCTAATATGGTGATGTTCTCATGAAAACAGTGGTAGTTTTCTTCTTCAAACAGTTTTCTCATGGAAAAATGTCATGACGTAATGAGACATGCAATTATATTAAAACATCTATAAATCTAAACACCGTCTGTTGGAGGGAATTCATTTCACATACACCATAGGCTAGTCCAGAGACTTTAGCAACCTCTTCAGCATTATTAGTAATATGACACCTATAAAAATAAAAACACCCCATATTACTTAAACCAGTAATTATGTACTTGGTGCCAAGAAACCTTTGCTGTGTACAAAAGCCCGATTAACAGGCTGAAAATGCTCTTTAAGGACTTGGCGAGCTCTGTGAACCCATCTGGGTTGATTTTAATCGAAGCTGATCCTCAACTCTGCCTCGATCACCGTTTTCTCAAAAGAAGTACATTTATTGTTAAGTCTTTAGTGAACATGCATGAACCAAAACTCTGTGTAGGTGTCAAACTGTATGTTTCCTTTACAGCATATGAAACCTAAATAAAAGATGATGGCAACGTTACAGAAACACCCAGGCCTTCATTTTAAGTCTCTAAAGCATTCAGTGTGTAGGCAGGCAGGTGCTGCAGCTCCATGCAACAATGTTTGTCGTTAAACCAACGATAGGTTACTCGATGATTATTCAGACTAGCGTGTTCATTTATACATGTTTGCTTTAGGATTGTAAAGAAATGTCGTGTTTGTCATTTGTCATAATAATATAAATATTTGTTTAAAATTGTTTAACTAAGTAAATATGATTAAAGAGCAAAATGGTCAGAATTAGCATCAGCATTTTCATTTTGTTTTATAAACTGAAAATTAATAATTCATATTTTCAGCAATCGTTTTATCTTCATTTTTTGCGCAATCTGCACTACCAAACAGACTCTAATGTGATCCGTACATCTATCTAGAAGTGGCCAAAGGAGTCATTTAACTGACATAAACAACAATCACACAATTTTTTTTTTTACTGTTTCCCAACTGCTTCTCTACCAACCACAGACTGTATATAAAAAATGGACACAGCCAGCATGGTGTCACCCACTGGTTTGCAAAGTCCTGCCATGAAACCTTGAGTTTAGCAATGACGATGAGCGACCCAAGGAGCACTGCAGCTCTTAAGGCAGCAGCGTATCAATCAGTAACTAGGCCTGAGCTAAACCACACTCTGGTTTGACACAGGCCTAATCCTCATTTTGACTACAATCTGATGTTATATTACAAAATGCATAATTTTGTGTTAAAATAACTATCAATTGAAACAATAAGGCATCAGGAAAGTGTTCATGAGTGATTTCTTTATTGACTTCCATACAGTCTGACTTCTTTCTGCATCTATATGAGGTGCCCCCTGCTGGCCATTTGAGAGAATGCAAGTTCCTACATCCATGAGACAAAGCCTGTGTGGTCTTCACAGTAGGTGCAGACATCGCACTCGAGTTACAGTGAGGAAAAACTCATAAGTGAAACCCCAAAACTTTTTAGGGTTTTTTACACGAAAGCTATAGCAGCTGAATTAACCTGTTTTAACAAAGCATCAGATGGACATTTTTAAACTAATAGCTTTTACATATTTTTAAATGTCCACAAGCTTCAACATCACACAATCCACAGTGAGAACTATTTGTCTCTCTAACTGGTGATCATTTGTAAACTGTATCTGTTAACAACCATCAGAAATGCTTTTTACTTTATTTTTTTACTTTATTTTTTTTTGTTAGATCACCCACTTTTTGTATGATGATACCATCCTGAGAAGACCATTGAAATTTGAATCAATCAATTCATACTTACGAAACTTGAAGCGTTGAGTTGTCCACCCATTTCCAGTCTCCTCTGTTCTCAATGTCACTCAGCCCAAGCCAGTAGAATGGGTTAAATGTCCCAATCGTCCTGGCTTCTTTTTCAAGAGCGTCCTAAAAATAGGTACAGTCAAATTCTTTAGCACTTGTGAATTCCAAAGAAATAGATTTGAAACTTTTAAAGTACAAAGAAACTCTCACATACTCTTCTTTGGTGGTCAGGATGGCGAGATGTCCGCCTATATCCTTACATTTGAGCGTACTGTTAAGCCAACCGTCGGTATCGTTGCTGAGGAAAAAGCAGTGATCCCCTATGTGAACCCACCCGTCAGGACACTCTGTGCAGTTGATCGCTGTAGGGTGACACGGGGACAGACAAATATACAAGTTAAACATTTATAGAAAGGTGCAGAACAAGAAACAAGCACTGAATTATCATTCATCTGCTGAACATTTGGTACCTGGAGCTGAACAGTTGTGTGCCAGGTCGGAGTATTGGTTACACATGTGTCTGAAGCGGTCCTTCAAAGACTCTAGTTTCAGCTTTAGAAAGGTCAGCTCTCCCTCTGTGTTGTTTGCGTCCTGAGCAGATTCAGCACTAGCAAACAGGCCGAGCACAACGCAGAGGATGGCGAGGCCTTTAATGCCCAAGGTGGCTGATGACAGACAGCAGACTCAGCATTAGCACACATGCAAACAGATCCGGACATACGAATATCTGGAGCTGCATCGGGGCTTCTTACCTTTCTTTTGGATAAGATGCATGTCAGCTGTCAGCTTGCAGGATATCGCAGTCTTTGGTGTCCTCTCTGTGCCCTTTTGATCTTTTATATAGCAGTTTGTGTGTCAAAGAGAAGGGAAAAGTACAGCTTGCACAAATCTTCCAGACAGATTGGACTCTTCATGGCTATCAAACCATGTAAACTCAGATGGTGCAATCTCTTGTAGCCAAACTAGTAATAACCTGCCATGTTGGATTGCACAAACAAACATTTGATGATGGGGAGCTGGCATGTAGGTTCAGTATTATTTACCAAAAACATGAGCAAAGTTCTCTTTCTGTCCCCAACTTTTTTAAAACTGGCAAAAATGGAGGACTGACTATGACTCAGCATTTACCAGCACTGCAAGTGTGTGTGTGTGTGTGCTGGTAAACATGTGCGTGTGTCCTTAAGGTTATTTGTATTCTCTCCATAAGCAGAACAGCTGTAACAATATCACCTCTTCACCACACACACACCAGATGCCCACTCTGTTCTTCCAGCACACTGTCAACATTTTTTCTGGTACATGTCCAAGTTATTTTTTTTCCTGGCACCTTATTCCCACAGACATTGTCAGCTCTTGTGCTTCATGAGGTTTTGTTATTCAAACCAAACTAATTAAAACAGAGAGGAGGGGTGTTTCATGTTTGTGTCTTATTCAGTGACTGCTGTGCTGAAATTTGTGGTTGCACATGACCAGAAATTCTTCTCTTCTGACTTCCTGTACTTTTCTCGCTGAGCCACAGCTTGGCTCTTCTTTTTTAAAACACGCTGTTCCCGCCTGCTTTCCCATCACAACCTTGTCACAGCTCCAGTTCTAGTTCTTGTTGCTTTAATTAATGTCAGGAGGAGTTCAAGTACACACTGTATTTTTTCGGATCCTGTTAAAGAACACGTTCCCCCACTCTGACTCATCCGTAACGAATTTCCAGAATCGGTGGCTCAATCCAAACAGAGCCGAGGAAACTTCTGGGATTGCGCAAGATGGGGCTTGATGGCAAGATGTCCCACCAATGAGAAGCACACGGTGCCAAAAATGTGAGGAAAGAGCCTCCCTGTTTGGCTTAACAAATTCTCCTTTTTTACAAAACAGATGACACAGAAAAGCTTGAGTTATCTCGTGGAGGGCAAAGAGTAGTGTTGTGCAGTTCTCTGAGCAAATATATTTAACACTGCAACGTTCTTTGATTCAGGGGGACGTGCCTCAATAATTCAACCAGCAGGGACAAATTTAATTTTAAGGAGAAATATTGTTTCTCCAGACAAAAGATACCAAAACCTTTAGGGACCTGAAGAGGTAGCATATAGAAGGACAAAGTGGGGAAGAGGGTTGAGAAGGAAACTACAGACATGGAGCAGAGAGAAAACTACAGCAGCCTGCACGAGTTCACAGAGGAGCCCAGACCGGGAGCGAACAGGCTCGTCCCACAATACAGCGACGGTAATTTGTGTGAACAAACAGATGCGTGAGAGCCAGAGGTGGACTTGAGTACATTTACTTAATTGCTAAACTCAGCTATGATTTACATGGTACTAGACTACTATTTTGTACCCATGTTTTATACTGGATGCAGAATAAAATATGGATACAAAGTACTTACCGCCTGTATTTCACTTGACTTTATTAATGCTACTTTTTTATATATTATAGCAGAGTTTTTGTTACAAATGAATTCATATAAGTTGCTCATTACAGCTGCTGTGTGGTAAAGTTATTGTGTAGCTAGTGCTACCTTATTTTAGATTTTGCTGTTTTAACCTCCTGAGGCCCGAGCTATGTGTGATTAGCTGCTCCTGATAGTCTAGTCTAATAATGAAGCTTTACCCCAGATTATAAACTTGTTACTTTGCTACAAAGTTTTCTTATGCCTTGTTTTTTTAAATAGTATTTTCTCACAAGGGGATAGTGCCTTTATTTTTATTTTATTTTTTTCTTATTTTGCAGCATAAGACAATAAATTTAACATTGCTTAACAAAGCATGAAAAAACTGAGCACATTGAAATTTAAGGTGCAGAACAGCCATAAATGTGATGTCCTCACATGAGGTCGAAGGATCTCAGGAGGTTAAGACTATTTAAACACGTATCCATTGAATGTAGTAGTAAAAACAATGAAATATTAAGAAACACAGTTGGAATCAGTTTTTTTTAGGTGAGCTTACTTTCACAGCTATCATGAGCAGAAGTCCATGTGATGTTGGAAAGAACTTGAACTATCTTTAATTTAGTGCTGCAGTTTTAACGTATCTAAATTTCACTTGAATGCTCGTGTCTATGCTTTCCTGGCAGCTCAGGGACTCCATGCTTCAAACAGCAGGATCCAGGGTTCAAAGCTTGGTGCTGCCTTTCTGTGTGGATTGTGCATCTTCAGCTCATGTTGCTAGGTTATTCCTTCTTATCTTAGTTCAAATTACTCTCATCAAATTCATTTAAACTTTAATTTCCTCTTTATATTAAACAGAGTTGGTCTACAATCTTACTTTGCAGATGAATGTTTTTTACAAACACATCGTCTCATAAAGGAAGTGGCTGCAGATTATGCTTTAAGTCCAACTGTCTTATAGAATCACAGCCAAAAATGTTGGCAGTGGTACAAATTTCTTGTTGCTGCTTCAGCTTTATTTAAACTGTTGTGTGTGTGTGTGTGTGTGCGTGTGTGTGTGTGTGTGTGTGTGTGTGTGTGTGTGCGTGCGTGTGTGTGTGTGTGTGTGTGTGTGTGTTTATGATCTAGCAAAGAAACAATCAAACACATTTCATACATTTCATGGGGAATGTTGATCTGTCTTCTTTGTATCTTCTGCAGTGTGTTTAATATCAGCTGCCAGGACAAATCCAGAAGCTCTTTGTAATTAACATATTTGCTTCTGATCATAATAATACAGGAATGCTGAGAGCCACCACCATAAAAACTGGGGCGTCAAAGCACCCTGCCAAAACTTGTGGCCATGACTGTAATCTCTAAGGATAAAATTGATGCACAACTTTCAGTATCTGAAACTCTGTATTTTAGTGTTAGTGTACATATGTGACAGCATGAGGCAGAGAGTATCCACTGGCTTGCTATCTTTGGGGATTTGAAAATATAATGAAGCTAAACTCTGGTCAAACGGTTCTGCCCCACAATTTCCTTTAAAGTCTGCTCTCGCTGCTACACCAGAGGAATTAAAGTGGTGAATTGACAGCTTGCATGCTGTGGACTGTTTTGTGTCTAATCAGGCTCCCAGGGACTGAAGCAAGGCGTCAAGTGTTTGAGGAGTAAGACTTCTCTCCTGATACTTATCGGCTTTTTGGCCTCCATCTGTGGCAACATCGTACTCGCTGTGCTCTGTAAGTATAAATACTGTCTCAGAACCTCGTGCCCCCTCCTGTGTGTGCTGTACTTTGGGTCCAGTGCAAAAGACTTTGGTACTTAAAATAAAAAGCTTAGTAACTAAAAGTCCATATTTATCAGTTTTTCTTCATAAAGAGTGTAGGAAAGAGGGAAAAAAATCAATATTTGCTACAAGCAACTACCATCAGTTCCCCTGCATATGTACACAGCTTCGAAGTATTTAGGATGTATATGTTGGAGCTCATCTCAGTTCATCAGTGGATTTATTTTCAGTATCTTCTGTCTCTTCATGAAATCCCAGACTGACTCCACCATGTTGGGATCAGGCCTCTTTAGGGGGGAAACTCATTGCTCTTGCTGTCATTAAAGATAGTCATTTATGACTCTGGCTCTATGTTTGGAGTCATTTTTGTGCTGCAGTCTGAATTTAGTACCAACCTGATGTCTCCCTCAGGTATTGGTTGATAGAAAATGAAACATTTGAAGTGCCTAAAACTTTTGCACTGTGCTCTACATCTGCCTGTCTATGTCTGTGTCTTTGGGTCTCTATCCCACGCTGATTATTCTCTCTTTATTTCAGCTCAGTGGGCTTTTGGACACCTAGAATTGGCAATAAAAAAGATAAAGCACTCTCTCCAGTCCAGTGAGGGTCATGTAATAGAAAAAGCACAAAAGTCCATAATTGTGAAATATTTCTCCTGCAGGGCCAAGAGTCTCTGGCAGCTCAGCCTGATAATGTGCTTGTGAGGACACTCTTTCATTTAAAACAAACACCACTGGGGCCGTACGTGCTTGATCTATTGCCACGCATGCACATACACACTCGTTCAGACGCACACTCCCAAGCTATCGAGTACAATTTTCAGATCTGAAAATGATGACTGGGATGTCTTGCAGCAAGAGGAGGAAAAAAAAAGAAATACTTCCCATGACAACAGGATCTCTAACATATTTTAAGACTTTCGAAAGAGAGAGTGCTTTAATTCCATTTCATGACTCTGTAGAGCAAGTCTGCCTAAGTAAAACAAATTAAATGTAATGTAATGGTATATACAGTAGCTGCAGATTAAATCACAACTGCTGTATGAAAAGTTAACACATTTCATTTCACAAACATCTGCAGCATATGCATTTGTAGAAAGGTTTTTTGTGACGTCATGCAAGCCACATTTTACCACAGTAGCACCTGCACCTGTGTTTTGAAAGGGCTTTCCAGGAAAGGATCACATGTCATTAGTGGTAAAAGGTCCAACTCGTTTTTCTAGCACATATTAACTCTGATGTGATTTACTAACCACAGTTCAGCTTACAGTAAATCAAGATAAACATGCTGAAAATAACTTTGAATCAGTTCAGCTGTTGCAAGCACCTTGGCTTTCATTTCCCTGACACATGACCAGTTGCGACACTTCTTCAGGGTAACATGTTGATTGGGCCTGAAGGATGTCACCACTTCTTATGGTACTTCTTAATGACAGTGAGGTAACTATAGTAACCATTATCTCTATTTATGTCATTAGATGAATATATTTTTTAAACGTTTCAGTACTCAAATGGGAAGTGGCAACATAAAAGAGAGCAGACACACAAATGGAAAAATATGTGGCAATGAAACCAGATTGCAAATGATAATTTCTTCTGGCCGCAAGGGATCTCATGTAAACACGATCATTCCAGCCAGGGCAGCAATGAAACCATACAGAGTCACAGACTGTAAAGAGAAGGCTTATATGCTTCAAGAGGGAGCGGTTTATTGGCAAATGAGAAACCACAACAGTATAAAAACTGCAT